CGTCTTTATGTAGTGTTTCTGCAGTATTTCAGGTTTTTATCTATGATGGGTAGGTACTAGAAAACAAGTAAATAGTGGAATCGATAGAGTTTGTTGAGATCTATCTTGGTCTGATGAATTGGCGAATCGTATGCCCGCAAAATACTCGAATCCTGCCCTAAGATATCCTACGTGTTATAGATAGTGTTTTTGTCATTCTGAATAGCTATCATTTAGAAATACAGTCGCTAAGCGAAAGAAAGAAATTGTTCATAGTATAAAATTGATGAAAAGACATCATTATTATTTAGTATGCTTGTTCTCAGTTTTTATATTATTTGTTACCAAACCCGTTGGAACTCTGACGTAATCCGACAGCAAAACCAAAAATGAAACAAATGAGAAGTAGGTTTAAAATATCTCTACAGACCTCTATGATCATTTATTCTTTACGAAAAAAGAGTAGATTTATTAAAATACTATAGTCGTGAGTAATATTTTACAGCCTCAATCTAAATCTACGGAATTTATTCAGGTATTTCGATAGATTATCTGAAGTTTTATCCATTATTATCGATCAATTTAAACAATGTAGCATAGATTAAATTAGCAAATGTTGGATTGGGGAAAGTTTCAAAAATGGTTTCAGTTCTATCCTTAAAAAATTATGAATGTAATAATTAAAAATATGCAAACGAATTTGAGATGTCAAATCTCATTGTATCGAGTGACAACAATGGTAGTATACAGTGGCGGCGGAGCCATTAGGCCTAGGTAGGCTCAAGCCTACCCAACGCCAATCTAGGGTAAGCTTGGGTAGACTTGTAACTATTCTTCAGTGGCATATTTTTATTTGAATTTCATTGCCGCGTAATTAGGTTGACATCGAATTCTTTATTCTTAGTATAAGACAGTTGAATTTATTTTTCCAAAATTCTATTTAAATAATTTTTGAATTCTATCCCTGTCATAAAGACCTGATAAATTTTAAAGATTAATCGCAGCTGACTCGAAAGAATCGCCGGCTAGTGGCTGTAATAGGGCCGATTACTGAATCGGCGAAATTTTTAGTTTTTCCCGGTTTTCACTACATTACTAAATACTTGAAAACTATTACTCCGTTCCTATCGTGATACCGGATAAACAAACTCAGAATTTGTCTTTCTTTCACAATAAAACGAGAAGCCCACTAGTTTTAAAGGAAGTTCATCTTTCATTGAAATTCTATTTAACAATTCAGATAATCCTAGCAGTGACTAAGGATTATGAGTAGAAATGTGATTATTAAAACCATAAAAATCTCGCTATCAACTTGATTCAGCATTTGTACCGATTTTATTTTAAAAAATCAAGAGAGGAAAACTTTTTAGCTACGGAATAGTTCTTTTTCTTTTCAGATTATTTGTTATAGTGCCTTTTTTCAATAATCCTTTTCAGTTACTTGGTTAGCTTCTATGGTCTCGGGTGCAATCATGTATTTGATAATTATCACGTTTATAAATAATCGAAATCTAAGCAGAAAATCAACAACGATCTTTATTCTAAAAAAAAGAATAAAATACTTTTCAACTCGTTCACATCCACACCCATAAATACAAAATTAGGGTTGGAATCAGATTGAAATGAATTAAAAAATTCCTATAACGATGAGCTTTTAATCCATTTACAAACGGTTCTCTCAAAAAACAACTTAACAAATTTTAATTTCATGGATTACACGATTGACACTGACTATAATCGATGAAGACTTCATAAAAGCTAGAGTGTAACTGGTGCAAACGACGTTAAAAGTTTTCATTTATCATAAAGAAAAAAAATTAAAACCTTATAATAATAATCAAATTTGAATCCTGTACTTTTACATGGACACGCATCATTTTGCTAAAAACGTGAGCCTACTCTAGACTGAGATCATTCCGCCGCCTCTGGTAGTATAGTACAGTATATTATATTTTTTGAATATCACACGTATAGAAATTCAAAACAGTCGATTTTACTGTTTCCAAATGTAATAGAATTTCCTTTTAGTCGAGTATACAGAGTTGATTGTAAGACTAAGATCCTTGTTGACACAGTAATATGAAAGTCTTTATTCTTGATTAGTTTCTGAATACTATTAAAAGAGCCAATTAGAGTCCTTTCATCACTTATACATAGAGATTTTGATGAATAGACATCGACTGGATTCAGATGACAATGCTCAGTGGACGAGGTTTCTTAAAATTTATCGAACAAAAAGGTTTCTATAAAAATTATTGATTGAAAGAACGATTAAATCAACATCGGTCATGTAAGCGCATCAATAAAAACAAAACAGATTCTTTTTCAAATTAAATTTTATTTAGGAACGTCTAGGATAATGTTGTTAACGACAGCATGCACTTACGTTAGAGCAATCATTTTTGTTTTTGACCTTCAAATGACATAAGATCTGAAGTTAAACACCAAGAAAAAGTATACACAGAATGAGTATACTTTTATCTTTGTTTCAAATATTGTAGATTTCATCTCAGAGTATTTCAATATCGAGGAGACCGGAATGAAACTTTAGGCTTTCTTCTCTGTTTGAATTAGTAACAATAAATTTTTTCCTTGCTGATATTACTGTCACTTCAAGTAAAATATTTTATTTGCGTTTCTAATGAAAAAATCGATGTGAAAACGAATCGAAGATTTTTATCCAATTCGGAATATTTTGTATAAAATAAGTATTCAGGTATGTGACGTCTAAAATCTGCATCGAAGAGTAGATAAAATACTTGACTGAGATAATTTTAGATGAAGTACAATTTCAATGAGTAAATACTTTCTCTTAATTTCTACCACGATGACTATTTTTGTATAATATAATAACATGATTATTTTCATTAAAATAGAGTTTAATAATACATTTTATGATTATTTATTTCTAGTCTATCGATCATTATTCTCACTGATTAGCAGTATTTTATCTTGTGAAACTTTCCGCTTGATCAAATACATAGTGTTCAATTATTAAAGCCGTCTTCTTTCAAATGAATATAAGAGGAAAAGCTAGCTTACCAATATATATATAATGTTACAACCAACATAAAAAGCACGTTCAAGTTTTGATCTTGACAAGTTAGCAATATTTAAAGGCGTATTTTCCTAAACCTATGATTAAAATGCTCTGTTTATCATTCTTTTCAATTATACTAACGGGCGGCAGCAGCATGTACAGCAAATTGAATTAGGAGTGTATTATTAAATATTTACGCTACTATTATTTACATGAAACCATGTAATTCTCTTTTTTGCTTTCATCTGTCTGAAAGCAAAAAAAAGAGAATTAGAGCTCATCGCTCATTTAAATTTTATCTCGTGTGTGCGACGCTATCAGTTCTCAAAAACACTCTGACAATCATATTCGAATCCCAAAAACCAATAGTAACAGAAAATAATAAGTTTCTACAATTTGAAAGCTTCTGTTATATATATTGAACCCTTATTCGTTGAGTATATGTGAGCAAGATCTTTAGTTCCAGTTTTACGTGAAATACATATCAGATAGGCAAACTGATGTCGATTGACTTTATCGAAGATCGTAGATATTTTCTTTAGTATATTTAAGCAAAACAGAAAAAATGAATAGTATAGAAAAAAATCCATGTAATATTTTTTCCCTGTCTTATTTGAATTTCTAGTTTATAGCATTAAACAACCGATTCAATACTAATGGCAGTGGTTGAGATTCCAGTTATCGGGCAATTTTGGATGTTTCTTATATCAAACTGTGCATCCGTTCTTTGCTCGATCTTTGTTCTTTATCATCTTCTATTTGATCGACAACTTCGTCATAGTTTACATAATCATGTCGTTCTCGTCCTTTTAATCATTAATTTTATCATCGAAACTACAGATATTCCATGGCTTATCTATTATTTGAAGCATGGTGTTAACTGGCTAGTTACGCCATTCTTTTGTAAAACATGGAAATTACTTGATATCGCATTATATGAGACAATATCAAGACTTGTTGCATGGGCAGCAATAGAAAGACATATTCTTGTTTTTCATGATCGTTGGTTGGCGACGAAAAGGAAAAGGTTTTTTCTACATTATTTACCGATCATTTTGATTATTGCCTATAATATCGTTCTAAATGTGGCGATTATTTATTTTCTTTCGTGTGATCGTCCGCTATATCCTTCGGTGCCATATTGTTATTTCTACAGTTGTGCATATGATAGTGTAGCATTCTCTCTGTTTGAATTGGCTACCAGTGGAATACTGAACGCATTTTGTATTGCTGTCTTTAGTGCTGGTCTTCTTATTCGCATTGTAAGACAAAAACTGCGAGCACACCAAGAAGTGAATTGGCGTAAACAGCGTAAAATGACGATTCAATTACTTTCAATCACACTATTATTCTATATTTTCTTTTTACCAGCTGTTATCACCGGTATCTTAACTAGTATTGGGTTTTCATCGATTTATATGGATGAATTCGTGGTTTATGCACAGTTTTTCTCTTTTTACATCAATTTTTTACTTCCTTTTGTTTGCGCAGGAACATTACCTGATCTTAAACTGAAAATTGAAAATGCATTAAAATTTTGGACATGGCATAAACGTATTAATGCTGTTGTACCATTTGCAAACAGCACTTTACAACAACGTACGCGAACAAGTACCCGTAATACTAGGATCAGTATAAGAGTACAACCAAATCAGACAGTGAGAAATTGAGAAAAGAAAACATTCTCAAATTTCTTGTATTGTGATTGTTGTGCTTTTATCAAGTCCTGTTTTTCTCTGTTGTTTCACATTATATGCGTTGTTTTTGAATGTCGTTATCGTAGCTTTTAAGTTCAATCACATGTAAAAAAGAACACCTATTCCAGTGTAGTTATATTAATGGAATAAAATAAAATAGTTCACTTTCGAAGTAAACTGAATTATGTAGTTGTCAGTATTTGTACCTGAAGAAAACTCTTCATCTAAAATAATAGATCATGATTTTACTAAAAGTTATCTTGTGGAAAATCTGAAAATTTTTTAATACCATCGAAGTCATTTTTAGCTGGCTACAAATACACCAGCACGTTTGTCATGACTTTCGAAATGAACTAATACAGCAGCCAACTATTTTTTTTTTCACCATAAAATTTAACACTTTTTGATAATCATGTTTTATAAAAAAAAAGCATCATAGTACTGAAATAGAAATAATTAATGCGGTGCGAAGCACAGCATTCTTGTACTCCGTCGCGAGTTTTCTTTTGCTTTTGCTTTCTCGACGTACACATCTTTTTCGTCGTTTTGTGACACGATGATCTCGAGAACCAAAATTCATAGAAAACTCGTTGAAATGTGAGATCAAGATATCAAGATCAAACTTTTTCCATCTGTTTTCGAATCTTCAATCTGAAGTTTTGTTTACTCACAAATGTGGTTCTAAAATGACAAAAATGAAAGAAATTTATTGCGAGATAATTAAAATGACGTCATCAGCATATGTTAGCCACTATAGTCTATTCGTTTACAACTGATCTAAGATAATGAATCATGGAGATAATTAATCGATCAATCTGTACGAATAGATCGCTAAGTAAGAATAAAGTTTTCTCAGTGATGAATTGCATTATGATTATATAAAAATTATTTATAATCTATCAATTGAAGATTTTTCATAGGAGATACGGATTCTTGCTTCGCATCGCATTTCGTATACGAGTGAAACTCGAATACTATCTAGTTGAAATTGTTTTTTTCTCCATTAATAGCATCTGTGACCACTTAACATAGATAAATGATACCTCAGCTTGTCTATTAAGTATAAAACGAAATAAATATGAATACACGAAAATCATTTTCTGCGATGTCTCCCGATACAGCACACTTCGTGGGTTATAAACAACGGCACTGTACGGATACATTTTGTCTGATTTTATTCATTATTTTTATTATTATTTATGGGTTTATATCGGTATTAGCAATAAGTCAAGGTAATCCAGCAAGTTTAATTCAAGCGAGTGATTCATTTGGAAATATATGTGGAAAAAATGAATTTAAATCTAAACCTTATCAGCTTTATTATGATATAAGTAAATGTTTAACTGACGGTGGTCTGTCATTAGTTTGTCCAACAACAAAATTATGTGTCAGTTCATGTCCAAAACAGTATTCACATTATCAATCATTACAAACAATGGAATTGGAAAATATTTTATCGAAGAATTCTACTCGTCAACAACTTGTATGTACATATGGTTTTAATCCAGCCAATGACGATCGAACAATAATTGAACTGGTGCATGATGGTCTTTGTGCTCCGTATACAATAGAATCAGAACCGTTTCTTGGCCGATGTTTACCATCCGCCTTTATAAATTTATTTGACGCTGAAACTCAACAAATATTCCAACAAAATTTATCTATTGCACAAATAAATACGCAAATGTTCGGTATTGGTAGTATAGCTGATGTTGGCCGAGTAGTATTGACTGATCTTGGTCAAATTAAAGAAAGTTTAGCATTATTCACCGTTGTAGCTTGTGTACTCACTTTACTCTATATGTTTGCTATAAAAAAATTAACTCGCATTGTCGTCACTATAACTATTATTTTATTTCTTCTCATATTATTTATGTGTAGTTCATTTTGTTGGTATACAATTTATACTGGCCAAGATTTTGTTTATGAATATAGTACAGTTGCAAGAATTGTCAATGATTTTATTAAATTACGAACAATTTATATTGTACTTGGTTCGATAGCAACATTTATCTTTTTTCTTACTCTATTTGCTATATTAACATTATTCGATCGTATACGATTAAGTATAATATTATTAGACCAAAGTGCAAATGCTGTCTTGTCAGTTTTAAGTACAATGCTATGGTCACCATTCATAATTCTAATATATTTTCTCGTCATATCAACTGTTATCTATGTTGGAATGTGTTTATCGACAATTGGCAAGCCAATATTTCTTTCGGTTGATCATAATGAAACAATACCGTGCATACCGAATCTCAATTCAACGCGATGCATATTTCAAGAAGACTATGGTTATGATTCATTAGTATTAAATGGAACAGATCCGATAACTTGCGGTGTCATTCAATTTTTTGTTGATTACAAATCTTATCTTATATGGTTTAATATATTTGCATTTATATGGTTTGGTGCATTTCTATTTGCATTTGAAGAAATTGTTCTAGCTGGAGTTTTTTCAAATTATTATTGGTCGCAAGAACGTTTAACAACATCATTTCCTCTACTATATTCTGCATCTATCATTATACGATATCATTTAGGTTCGATTGCATTTGGTTCATTGCTTATTGCAACATTAAGATTTATACGTATGATACTTGAGTATATCAGTGAAAAATGCTCTTCTATTCAACAAAATATAGTTATTGAATTTATTCTAAAATGTTTTTCCTGTTTTTTATGGATATTTGAAAAATTTCTAAAATTTCTCAACAAGAATTCTTACGTATTAATTGCATCGCGTGGCTATTCGTTTTGTAAAGCAACACGCAAAGCATTTGTTTATTTAATTAACAATTGTCTTCGATCAATTGTTCTTGTTCATTTAACTGAATGGATTTTATTCTGTGGTATAATTAGTGTGTGCAGTTGTAATGCATATTTATTTTATCAATATCTTCATTGGACAGACGAATTCGGTCAGCTTATACTTCGTTGGACACCCATTATTACTATTATATTAATTACTTATCTTATTGCAAGTCTTTTCTTTAGTGTTTATGATATGGCAATAAAAACATTATTCGTATGTTTTCTTCAAGATTTAGATGAAAATGATGGCTCTATTCAACATCCATATGTGATGAATAATGAACTTTTACGTTTAGTACATAAAACAAACATTGTTGAAAAAAAATGAAAACAAACAGCAAACACACGCACACGCACATCTATGAACTTTTTTTTTTATTATTATTAAAGATTATTATTATTAAGAGGGAACGTCAGCTAAAACAGGTTTTAATCGTAAATTAATTTTGACTTGTTTAGTGACTCGTCGTATAACAGGTAGATAAACCATACATGGAACAAATGTATGTGCAAATTTTGGATCTTCACTTTCGAGTAGAAACGGTTGTAAACCACCATTGGTTTCTGACAGCGAATTCATTCGTTTATTTGAATCATTGGAGGTTTGACTTGAACTTCGTTTACGTTTTAGTTGTTCGACATTACCATCTGATTCATCTTCACTTTGTTGTTGTTCGTGATTATTTACTGAATGGTTTTCAAGAGTTTTTGCTAGAGAAAGAAATGGATTTTGTAGTGAATTTTCATTCATATTCATGGACGTCGCTGCTTTCATAAATTGTATTAATGTTTTATAAGTTGAATCAGACGTATCATTATGAGTTGTTTGCATATGAAAAAAATATAAATATTTTGTTGAAAAATCTTTTTTACATATAGAACAATATGTGTCTGTTTGCTCGATGGGTAATTCATTGTTTTCAGTAGATTCCGATGATGGTTGTTCTAAACGAAATCAATATTTTTTTTACTAATATGAGACGATTCTTCAACAAGTGATAATAACTCATTTTTATAGGCCTTTGTAATATGTGCTGGATTTGCATGCAGGGATAGCGTAGAGATATTTAAAATGTGGGATGAAGAAGTTCCGCAAAATGTTTTTCTCTAAATAGGAACAGACAATAGAATAACTACAATCACAGGGACCGAAAAAATGTAGTGCTGCATATCACTATTCGCAAATGTATGATGATATATTTTAAATTTAATTCGTATAGTAAAAAAGGCGAGACTACAAAAAAATCTCAACTTGCAATTACGATCGAAAAGCGAATTGAATAGAATCTATTTGATAATACTTTGTTTTCTTACCATTGTCATTATCTATTTGTTCGTCTTGTTGGTTTTCCATTGTTGGTGATTTAATTTCATCTGTTGAGATTCTCGATTGAAGATTATTCGTTGATACCATTGTTGGTGGTAAATTGTCGGTATTTCCATTTGTAGTCGTATTTGTTCCATTCACTATTCCATGTACTTTAGCTAAAATGAAGTTAATAGTAAATAATGCTTCAATTGACTTTTGTTCTTTTTACCTTTGTGTGTTTTAAGAAAATATTTATTACAAACTTGTTTATTACATATTTCACAAACAACACGATCGGCCATTTTAGCACAAAAATATGAATCATGAAGAATTCCATAGGATGCTTGTGATGCTTGACCAGCAACAAGTTTATGTGCAAGTGAACTAGTTGTATCCACATACGGTTGCAAAAATCCTAAATTACTCGATGGTGACATTGGTAATGTTGGTGTTGGTGATTGCTTTATATTTTGTTTGTTAATTAAATTTTTTTTATTCGTTTCATTTGAATGCATCGTAGTCATATGTATGCGAAGAAGAGCTTTATTTCGAAATTCTTGTTGACATAAATTACAACGACGTATAGTTCGTTGTGGTGAAATTTTTGTTGCATCAACTGTAGGAAAAAGATTTGATAATGTTGGTGTTGTCGGTGATGATGATGATGATGCAATACCATTGTTATTCTTTCCACAAAATATGGGCTTGATATCTGTTGTTTGTGGAAGATAGAATGGATTGATTAAAAGCATATTTGAATTATTTGATGGTACTTTAAAAAAGAAAAGGAGAAAAGAAAAAAATCAGGGATGTGAAAAAAATATTCATTTGATTTTGTTTACTTTGCATAGGTCGACTAGTATTATTTTTGACCGGGCTTTCATTAGCACTTTTTTGTAACGATTTTATATAATCCGTATAGACACCATGACATTCACCCTTGTGTTTCTATTAAAAATAAAACGAAGACAACTCAAATTTAATCCTTTACACATCTCAACTAACGAATTGTTTATTTTCTCTTTTCTCCAATAAACATTGGTATGCATGTCGAAATTCATTCGTTCGTTCGTGGATAAATAAGCTTATTAAAAGTCAGATAAGCTCCCTGTTCTACAATCTTTTGAAGATGTTCACAATCTTCTCTCTCTCTCCCTCTCTTCAATATTTACATCGAATAAGAAAAAAAACAAAAAAAGAAGACAGAAAGAGAGAAAGATTCATCTAAAATTAAACATCACATCTTTTTGAACAAAAGAGGTAATCTCTACAAACAGTAGTTTGAACGAAAGTAAAGCAATCTATTAGTGTGCGTGCTTGACAATGTTTTGAATATTTAAACTAGAAGTCCTTCTTCTCAGGCAATGTAAACAATGAACGTGACTTAACTTCAATTTTAAGATTACTTACACGAAGATAATATTTATTACAAAAACGTTTTTGACAAATCTATAAATTAGAAAAAAGAAAATAAGTTCAATTTATAAATATAAACAAAGAAAATATTTACTGAACACACCTCGCAATAATCTTCACTAATTTTTTGATTAACAATTAATGGTAACGGTTGTTCATTGGATAATGAAGTCGGCGGTGAAGGTGATGACATTTGATTATTATTTAATTCGAGTGGCAGTGATGTTGGAGATATGAGACTAATGCCTCCATGTTTTTTAGCAAAGTGTGTTTTAAGAAAATATTTATTACAAAATGAACGTTCACATAAATTACAATAAGCTTCTTGTTGTCTACTTGGTGAATATTGTTCGGGGTCATCGGATGGAACGGATGATGGTGGTAATGGAGATAGTGACGATTGACCATTGGTTAAATCTAGAAAAAAAAAAGAATAAAACATTAAAAAAACCTAAACTTGAAAATCTTTCTTTTCTTACCTGTCGGAATTGCTTCATCATCATTGGTGAGTCTAAACAAAAAATAAAATTTCTAATTTTGTTTAAGATTTATAAAAGCAAAACTTACCTATTAGGTTTAATTTGTTTACGTTTGTTAGGTGATTTATATAAATCATCATTACGTTTAATAATAGTTTCATTATTCGTTTTAGTTATTGACAAATCATTGATTTCATCTTCTTTTATGATTGAATTATTATCACCAATCATAGTTGATTCTGCTTTCAATATATGCTCGTCTTGAATGATCATCATTTGAGACGATGCATCAGACACACAGGAAAAGAAAAAACAAGACAGAAAAAAAAGAAAATCTAAATAGAGAGAGAGAGAGAGAAATATATATATATATATATATACATATGTACAATAGAAAATCGAGAGAGAAAGAAAGAAGATTTATTAGTTTTGTTCTTTATGAGAACAACTAACGTAGTAGAAGCAAACGAGATGCCCATCTTCTTTTTTTTTCTCTTTCAAAATCAAGCAAACCCCGTTGGCTCATCATCATTATCGTCAAGCAGGCACGCGCCGTACTACTGCCCCATATTTCAATACATGTGTACACACACATATACATAGAGATGTGCATATGAGAAAAGAAAGATAGAATACGCACGTATATCGGTTGGCTTCGCCCGCGATTGAGAGAAGGAGAAAACGGAAGCGACACACGGATCTAATTGAAAAATGAGGAAGATGATGATCAATATCTTAGTAGAAGGAACATCTGGTGTGTTCTTTTTGCATTAGTCTGAAGAAGAAGATGAAGAAATAAAAGAAGATCAAAAGGTCAAATGCTTGAAATTTATCAGACAACTAAACAAGAAAACCAATGAAATAAATTAGTATGATATATCATATAGATACATAAACAGCAAATAGCAACAAAAAAAAGCAGAATAAGAATCATAATATTAGTACGATAGAAAATTTTTTTCCATTCTTTCATGCCAATAGAAAAATTTTCTCTGAAGTAGATAAAGAAAACAACTCATCAAGCATTAGAAGAATATACTGATAAAACATAGAACATAGAAAAGATTCGCCTTGATTTAATTAGAACGAAGAAAAAATAAAAACAAAATTATTTAGTCATTATAGAATTGCTTATCTATCTTGAACAGATGTAAGGAATCAGATAATTTAAGTGAAAACAAATTTCTCTCCTCGTTTTTTGTTATTCTTAGAAAAGAGAAAAAAAATAAATGGAAAACGAGACTGATCAAATATCTTGACTTTCTCTAGAGAAAATAATGTTCCAATAGGCCAATATCATTTGCAAGAATTTTCTTTCTCTCTAGCTCGATATTCATATAACTATTGACATATCACTTCCTTTTCTCATTCTTAAAATATTGGTCCATACGATTTGGATCATGCTGTGTGATGCAACAATGAATAAGATCGAAGCAAAGTTATATCTACATCACATATGAAAAACTTTCTTCTCCCTATGTACACAATACGGATAAGACTAACACACTACCACAGCATGTTTCATCTGATGATACAAATAATAAATCTTAGAAAACAAGCATTCCTAACGGGAAAAAGCACTCCAAAATGAAAACATAACAGACAGATATAGACAGGAGAAGACGAAGAAGAAGAAGAAGCCTAGCTTGATGTTTATTCAAGTCAGTCAGGCGAGCTGATGATGGACAATGTTCGATGATTCTTCTTCTGCTTCTTCGTTCTTTATTTTTTTGGCTGATATGCCATTGACTTTTAACGGTTCACCTCTTGCTGCTCGAGGTGATTAGGGCAATACGATAGCGGAAGGAAAGAAAACTTGTGAAAAAATACTGATGAGATGGACGATATTTACGAAGCTAAAAAACTATAAAAAAATGATAACAGACACACGTCTGCTACACATCGGTGGATTTCTTTCAAAATGAACTAAAGCACTACTCCAGATGAATATATATATATATATATATGTGAACAAATTATTCTTCAGACTTATGCTCATTGAAGAAAAATAAAATAAAACAAATGTTCATTTAAGTTGATCAACAGTTTTCAATTCCTAATATACACACACACACACGCGTACTCGATCGATTTCTCAAGTAATAAGCATAATCAGAAGACTCATTTACTGTCTGGCGGCATCAATAGAACGAACGTTTCAATTTCCGTTTCTTGTTGTTTGCAATCGATCAATAGACTGCGTGTGTGTACTGAATCGATTCATAACGTATGCAATAAAATAATAGTAACGCCCTTTTTATATTTTCTTTTCATACAAAAGAAAATGATACACTTTGAAGTTTTGAACAATATTAAAAGATTCTTTCTATTTGGAAGAATATCAATAAGAAACAACACATACATGAAGAGAAAAAATACAGCAACACTTGAAAATGATAAGTGTTGTATACACACTCACTTTATCCTATTCGACAGTAACATTAACTATGACAAACAAATGACAACATACATATATCGATCATGTCAGTTACATACAACACTTGACTTTCATTAGATTGTCGCCGTGGTCAAAATCATTTTGGCACCATACTTATTCTCATTGATTATACACATAAGAGCAAAAGATTACATATATACTTTTTTCGTTTTTGTATGTTGTATGTCAATTCTGCTTTTGAATAAAAAAAATGAGAGAGAAAAAAAAGACGATTATCGTCTACAAAATCGATAAAATTATTCTCCTTTTTGTGCACAAAGTAGTAAAAGAGCACGATTCAATTTTCGATTCCTTTTTTCTTTTCATCTTCGTTTTCTTTTTCATATTTCAAAATAAACACCATTTGGATTCTCATTTTTTTTACTTGCACACACACCTGTGTGTGTATGTCAACGGACGATATCGCATCTCGTGTCAGTTATTATTAATTTCTTTTCTTTATTTTCTTTTTTTCATCATTTTCTTTTCTCCTATTTTTTTTTGTACACATCCCAGTGCGAGAAAGAAAGAAATCGAAATTCAACAGTAAAAATCAAATAGTGAAATGTTTTCTAAGGCATACAAATTCTCGGCTAGTTTCATAATTGTAATGTTTATTTATTCTTACATATTTCAATCAACATTTGTACTGTTTTATAATAGAAAAGCAAAAAAGAAATTTCAAAGAATACTACATGTTTTATTGAAGTAATATTTCAAAATAAAGACGAAAAAAGAAAAAAGAAAAAGTTCTGATGACAACAAGTGCCATTTTATTCGAGTGACACAAATATCGACGATTACCAGAGAACAAGTTTGACATTCTCTAGGTGAGAAAGAGAACGGCCTTTAATGATGAATTTTACTTTCAAAAAAAAAAAAAACGACAGTTGAATAACATAATATACTGCAATTAAATCGATCTTTAATCGTTAACGAATATGATTAATTGAAAAAAAGAAACAAAAATGGCCTTTGTCAGCTGAAAGATTATTTGAACATTATAAATGTATACTTCTTTTGTATCGTTTGAGAGCATTTAAAAAGTCGACATAAAATGTCATTATATTGAATTGTTCAAATCATGATCATAGTTTACGTAAGAACTAAATCAAAAATGAAATAGTTTATTGAAAATATGAAAAAATGGCTAATACATGTGTCATAACGTTGTTTATATCTTTTCAAAAGTCAACAAAAAAGACTGATTGACTAATTTTGTCTAGGGTCATGAGAGTGTTACTCATTTTTTTACCTGTTATCTTTGACACATATTCGTCATGTTTTGTTTTATCTCTCATCTATATAAAGACAATTTGTGTTAAGCGATCTCTATACAGCTTTCTTACATTGACAATATGGCTCGTTTTTCGTGCGGTGTTCAGTGCACACGTATAATATTGTTCTCATTGAATATATTATTTTTTCTTTTTGGTCTTACACTATTGGGCTTTGGTATTTATGTTAAAGTAAGCAACCGATTTGAAATTGCACTGCCGGACAACATCGGTGTGAAAATTGTCAGCGGAGATGTCCCAGGAGCAGTAGGCATACTTTTGATTACTGTTGCTGTTTTTACAATATTATTATCGGCCTTTGGTTGCTGTGGTATGTAGGATAACGATAGATTTATGCGAGTTCTAAATCATTTTCTATTCTAGGCGCTCTATTCAAAAATCGAGTCTTTTTATATTTGTATACTATTATACTTGGTCTTCTAGTGATTGTCGAATTAGCAGCATTTATTATTACATTGTACTATCGTGTTCAGATTCGTGATAGTTATAAATCGGGTTTTCGAGAATTGTTTATTGAAATTTATAGTAATAATCATACAGATCTTCAACATGTTATAGAAGATATTGAGCGTAATTTTAAATGTTGTGGCATTGATAATGTTACAGATTATTACACACATAATTATACAGTTCCTGCAAGTTGCTATAAAGATCAAGATTTTCATAAGCCTATTTTTAAGGAAGGTTGTGCTAATGCTGCTATTACATGGTTATGGAATCAAATTCCAATCATTGGCGGTGTACTAGGTGTTATCTTATTGATTGAAATTTTTGGCATCGCTTCATCTATTTCACTCGGTATTGCGATTTCTCATTCTTCGTACAATAAATTATATGGCTAATGTTTCAAACGAAAAATTTGATTCTTCATGTATGAAGTACTTGTAATAATGTTTATTGATATTTTATATTTTAAATAAATAAAGGAAAAAAAGAAGAAACTTTACAATGGATTCATTATTGAAAATATTTGAAATTTGAAAGACATCTATCCACATGTCAGCAACTATATTTACTAAGCCAAGATTATATTAAAAAAAAGATTAAAAAGCTTTCGAATTATTTGATTTTGAATATAAAAAAAAAACGAGTAAAGATGAAAAAACATTATACACATTCTACTTCTGATTACATTTACATAAAATTACACAAGTGTATAATTCAATTGTGATTTTTTTCCTTCATCATCCATTTTCTGAAGTTTTTTTTATTGCATTTATTAACCGAGGAGTAAAAAAATCGACTATAGTACAAGAATGTAAATTAATGCAAAGTATCTTCAATTATAAACTAATGGTTTATTTAATTGAACGAAAAATTTAAGCATAAATTTTTATTCAATTCTCAATCTGTTTTTTAAATATGAATAATCTCAGTCATTTTTACTTATGAAAATAAAAACTAAATGTCTGAAAATTAAACGAGTGAAACAGTAATTTAAAACTGCTGTATTACCTATTGATTTACTTTGAACTTTAATCGCATTTCATTTGTCGTTATCAATAGGACACATTTCATTTTTTTTTATCTTGTAAATGTCATCAATAAAGAGATTCGTCATATTTCTTACCTTTGCTTATTTCAATACAAGTCATATGCAAAGGTTCTGACTCTTTTTTTCTTCTGAGAAGTACCAGATTATCAATCATATAACAAAATTTCTTTAGTAGACAATATTTGCCTTAGTTTTTCATCGTATACACTGTTTGATTATATCCGTTGTGTTTTTAATACTATATAATGTGATATTGATATATATATATATATTGTATATATGAGAGCAAATATGATTATTTTTTTTTACATAGTTTTCAATCAAATAGAAGAAAATTTGGCCGAATGAAAGACTGTTGATATTATTGAAGTGGCTATATAATTTGTGTTAAAATATGTTTATCATACGTTTATGTGTATCTGGTTCTCGAGGGATTCGATATAGAAATAAAATTGTATCGACGCATTAAATTTTATTTCTTCAATTTGTTACATTTGATAAATATACTAAACTTGAGAATTTGCATTTCAGATGGTTATTGCGCTGACCTCAAGAAATACGTAGTTTTATCATGCGAATAATAATAAAAAAAACTTGTGAGTGGTATTAAGTTTATCAACCGTGAATTTTAAGTTTTAAATATTCACAATGTCGAACGACATGTAAAATATGATATACTTTCATCAAGAATTCTTTTTGATAAATCTATTCTAATGAAAATACGACGAATACATACTAATGTTATAGATTATATTTATAAATCATCATGTTAAACTAAGTTAAAAGTTCGTGGAAGAAAAATCATTGAGAATACTTCAAATTTAAGAAGAAGAAGAAAATCAATTGAAAGTAGAAATATGAATCAATAAAAACATAGTTCCATACAACTTTGATTATATAAATTTGTAGAGTCTATGTTCTCGGGTGCAATCGTACATAAGATAGTTATCATATTTATAAGCAATCAAAATCTAGGAAGAAAATCGACAACGATCATCATTGTAAAAATGAATGAATCAACAAGAATACTTTTCGACTGATTCATAACTCATAAATAAATAAAATTGGGACTGGAATCAGATTGAAATAAATTAGGTAATTTCTTATAATAATGAGGTTTTAATCCAATTTCAAACGGTTGTATCGAATCGCAACGTAGAAAATCGAAATTTCATGGATTACACGATTGACACTGACAATATTGGACTAAAGCTTCATAAAAAAAACTAGAGAGTCTATCTGATGCAAATCAGGTTAAATCATTTTATTTGTAACAAAGAAAAAGAATCAAAATCTTACGATCATAAGTTATTTGAGAAAAATGTGAATCGGTTATTTTTACATGAATAGACAGCATTCACCAAAAATGTGAGCCTACCCTAGACTGAAATCGCTTCGTCGCCTCTGATAACGGATTAATGCTTGACTTGAGGCCATCTATGTCAAATACAACTCTTTTTCTCCTCCCGAATTGGCTAAACCCCTATGCATACTGTATCGAATTGAATTTAAATCGATTACATCTTTATTTGTTTTCTCCATTCAGATATTTGTTAATAATTGTTAATTATCAAAATAGAAATCCAAATATATCTAAAATAATGCCTGTATTCAGGTACGTACTGAATTGAGATCAACTCCGAAAAGCAAGGTTATATATAGCACTACATGAAATTTATCAAAATCGATTTGCTTGAAACCCTCTATGAAACACAATTGTACCCATACATATCCATTACATTATAAACAATTAATTTTTTTCTATAAAAAAATGATAGCCTAGAATACGTTTCATTGAATAACCTGAAACGTCGAAAAAGAGTCCATTTTTAAGAACTCTTCTAAAACAACAATTGTATCAAATAGAATTTTATAGTTTACCATATGAATTCAATTCAATATTATTTCTATCAGAATCTTGCGAAAAAGATATTATTTTAATTTAATCAAAATAATTTTTTTATTCAATAGAATTTTTTCAATCGAAATATAATTCTTTTTAAAGTAATATAAAATAAGAAGCCTGTTACGCAGCGTATAACAACATAGATTATTTACTTAATGGAGGTGCAGGTGTTGGCAAAAGTACTTTGATCAAAGCAGTATATCAGTCGGTACTGAGATTTTATAATTCACTTCCAGGATCTAATCCAGAAACTATTCGTACTGCAATCTGTGCACCAACCGATAAAGCAGCATCATTAATTGACGGAATGACTTTACATTCATTTTTAAGTTTACCAATTAATCAATGCAAACATAAACTCGTTAAACTAGATAGCGGGATTTCAAATAAAATTGGAGTAAAATTGAAAGGCTTGCAATTATTAATAATAGACGAAATATCAATGGTTGGTTTTACAATGCTTTAGCAGGTCGATGCTCGCCTGCAGCAAATAATGAAGTCAAGAGAACCATTTGGTGGAGTATCAGTTATAGTTTTGGGCGATTTCAATCAATTAAGACCAATTGACGATAAATACATATTCCAATTTAACAATTCATATAATGCTTTAGTAGATAATCCATTATGGTCACTTTTTGAATTGTTCGAATTGATGGAAATAATGAGACAAAACGATGATAAGATTTTTGCCATTGCATTAAGTAATATAGCAAAAGGAATGATGACACTTGAAGATATTAATTTATTAAAATTACGAATTGTTTCAAATGAAAATTTGGAAATCATGGGAGATGCAATAAGAGTATTTAGAAGTACCCAGGTCGATCA